GAATGTTTTCTATGGGAGTCCAACTCTACCATGCAGTGAGTCCAGGCAAATCACATCACAGAGCACTTGCCTTGCAGTTTATCTTTCTTTTTCTGCTGCTTGGCTTTCTTCCCATCCACCTGCAGACTGATAGCTCTCCTCTGCTCCAGATTGAGGAGCTCTTGGAAGAGCTCCTGCACGTTGTAGTTCATTTTGGCTGACGTCTCCATGAAGGCACATTTCCACTTGCTGGCTAGTGCCTGCCCTTCGCTGGCATCCAGCTCCCTCTGGGTCTCATCACTTTTGTTCCCCACCAGCATGATGGGGATTTGCTGAATGTCCCCTTTGATGTGACAGATCTGCTCGAAGATGGGGTGAAGATCCTCCATGGATTGCCTGCTGGTGACAGAGTACACCAGGATGAAGGCATGGCCTCTGGAGATGGACAGCCTCTGCATGGCAGGGAACTGGTGGCTGCCCGTGGTGTCTGTGATCTGCAGGGTGCAGATGCTCTTGTCACAGCTGATCACTTGCCTGTAGGTGTCCTCGATGGTTGGGATATAGGTCTCCCGGAAAGTTCCCTTCACAAAGCGCAGCACCAAGGAGCTTTTGCCAACCCCTGCTGCTCCGAACACCACCACCCTGTAATCATTGCTCTGCTCAGGCATCTTTGCTGCTGGGGAAACAAGGGCTATGCACCGGGAAAGCACCAATTCCTCCTAGTTTACACACGCCTATGCAGGGGTGAGCTGTAGAGAGAGAGGGAGGGGAGAAACGAGAAGAGAGAAGCAGATTAAATCGTTCACAGCATCTCGGTAATGTTATTTAAATAGGCAATTAATAAATCATTCCCCTTTGAGTTTACTCACTCCTATGCAGAGACAGAGGGGGAAAAGGGGAGCAGAGAAAGCAACTTAAATCGTTCACAGCACCTCGGTAATACTACTAAAATGAGTAATTAGTAAGTTATTCCCTTCCAAGTTTACACACTCCTATGCAGGGATGAGCTGCGATGAGAGAGAGAGAGAGGAGCAAAAGGGAACAGAGAAAATGAATCGCTCACAGCATCTCGGTAATGTTACTGAAATAAGCAATTACTAAATGATTCCCCTCCTAGTTTACACACTCCTAGGCAGGGATGAGCTGCGGAGAGAGAGGAGGGGGGAAAGGGGATAGAGAAAGCAGAACGAATTGCTCACAGCAGCTCGGTAATGCTACTGAAATAAGCAATTAATAAGTTGCTCCCCTCCTAGTTTATACACATCTGTGCAGAGATGAGCTGCAGAGAGAGGGAAAGGGGAAGAGAGAAAGCAAAATTAATCACTCACAGCATCTCAGTAACGCTATTGAAATAATTAGTAATCAGTAAGTCACTCCCCTCCAAGTTTACAAACCCTATGCGGAGATGAGCTGTGGAAAGGGGGAAAGGGAGAACACAGAAAATGAATCGTTGACAGCATGTTATTAAAAATAAGCAATTAATAAGTCACTCCCCTCCAAGGGTATTCACTCCTATGCAGGGATGAGCTGCGGAGGGAGAGGCGGGGGAAAGGGGACAGAGAAAGCAAAACGAATCGCTCGCAGCAGCTCGGTAATGCTATTGAAACAAACGAGTAATAAGTCACTCCCTCCCATCCTTTTCCCTCGAAACAAATCACTATTCCCGCACACACAGCCATGCAGCCCGTGCACGCTAAAGGCTCTGAGAAGCGAAGAGGGATTCACCTGTAGCCATCAGCTCCAGCGAGCAGGGAGTCGGGACTGGAATCGCCTGGCAGCCCCGGGGATGTTCCAACCCCGGGGAAGGCGTGTTCCAGCTCTGGGAAAGGGATGCTCCAGCCCCGGGAAAGGAGTGATCCAACCCCAGGGAAGGGATGCTCCAGCCCCGGGAAGGCGTGTTCGTGCTCTGGGAAAG